GACCTAGGGAGGATTTTATTTAGGGTGATTTTAAAAATAATTTTAAATAGAGACACAGCTTCTAATATTCGGTTTTTTAATCTGGTTTTACAGGGGTTTGTATTTTTATGCTTTGTATTTGTACTGTTTTTAATACGCTGTGCACCGCCCTGAGTCCTGCGGGAGAAGGGCGGTATATAAATTAAATTAATAAAAAAAATAAAAATAAAAAAATAAAAAAAAGTAAGCAATTGAAACAAAACAGGGAGGACAATCAACCAGTGGAACAGCTGGCCACCAGAAATTGTGAGCGCTCCATCACTGGAGATTTTCAAGAAGAGACTGGACAGCCACGGGTCTGAAATGGTATAGGTTCTCCTGCTTGAGCAGGGGGCTGGACTAGAAGACCCCCAAGGTCCCTTCCAGCTCTATTCTATTCTATTCTATTCTATTCTATTCTATTCTATTCTATTCTATTCTATTCTATTCCATACCATTTCTATTCTATTCTATATTCTATTCTGCATTCTATTCTATTATTTCCAATTCTATTCAATTATTTGTAATTCTATTCTATTCTACAATCTGTTATTTCTATTCTTATTTCTAATTCTATTCAATTCTTATTTCTAATTCTATTCTATTCTATTCTACAATCTGTTATTTCTATTCTATTCTATTCTTATTTCTAATTCTATTCTTATTTCTAATTCTTTTCTATTCTACAATCTGTTGTTTCTATTCTATTCTATTCTATTCTTATTTCTAATTCTATTCTTATTTCTAATTCTTTTCTATTCTACAATCTGTTATTTCTATTCTATTCTATTCTTATTTCTAATTCTATTCTTATTTCTAATTCTATTCTTATTTCTAATTCTTTTCTATTCTACAATCTGTTATTTCTATTCTATTCTATTCTATTCTTATTTCTAATTCTATTCTTATTTCTAATTCTATTCTTATTTCTAATTCTTTTCTATTCTACAATGTTATTTCTATTCTATTCTATTCTATTCTATTCTATTCTATTCTATTCTCCTAAACCTAGACAAAAAGAAAAAAAAATAAGGCCTTCTAACGCATCCAGAAGCTGGGCTGACTTCTACAAGAAGCAAGTAGACACCCCTTGACCTACGACCATTCATTTAATGACCGTTAAGTTACAACAGCCTTGAAAAAAGTGACTTATGACCGTTTTTCACACTTACGACCCTTGCTGCATCCCTGAGGTCACATGATCAAAATTCAGACGCTTGGCAACTGGCTCATATTTATGACGGTCGCAGTGTCCCGGGTCCACGCAGTTCCCTTTTGCCACCTTCCCCATCAACGGGGAAGCCAGATTCACTTAACCACCGTGTTTCTAACTTAACAACTGCAGCGATTCACTTTACGACCGTGGCAAGAAAGGTCGTAAAACGGGGCAAAGCTCGCTTAAGGAATGTCTCGCTTAGCCGTGGGAATCCTGCGCTCACGTTGCGGTCGTAAGCTGAGGACTCACTTGTATTCTGCAATTCCAGGCACGTTGACTGTGACAAATACCAGTGTTGTGATTCCTCGCCAGCCCATGGACCCAGCAGCTGAGTCTGAGGAATTAGAGGAGGAGGAGGGGCCTGGAGTGACATCAGAGTCGGAGGAAGGCTCTGAGGAGCTGCAAGACTTACAGTCGGAGGAGGAGCCTGGCCCCTCTACTCGCGCTCAGGCTGAGACGCAGCTGTGCTGGGAGCCCGAGTTGGACAGTGATGAAGAACAGCTGGGGCAAATCCAGGATGCACGAAAGCGCCGGCAAGAGAAGCGAGTAGGACAGAGGGATGCAATGGGGTGGCTCCAAAGGCAAAGGAGAAGGCATTAGGAAGCCACGCCTGGGCTGAATTATAAAAGGGAAGGTGTGGGAGGTGCTGGTGGCCGTTTGTGTTAAGGAATCGAGTTTGTGTGAACTGTGTTTTGTTTGCCTTGGACATTGACTCAGGTCTGTGAACAATAAAAGGGGATTGGTTTTTTCCCCCTGCGGTTCCTGCCTGCTTAATTTGAAGAGGGGTTTTTCTCCTTGTGAACGTAACAAGGAGTTCAAGTAGGCTGGGACAGAACAACCTGGCAGAGCGCTTGGGTGAATGTAAATTGGTATTTTCCTCCCATTTCCTTTGTTTAGATCCAGGAAATTCAGCCCAGGATTAGGATGCTTAGGATCTCCGAGGACCGGCCCTTGAATTTGCAGTGTTTTATTCTCAAAAAAAAAGGTACCTCTTGGAATCTTCCCGTTCCACCTGAGAGTTGTTGAATTTGGAAAAAAAAAAAGAAATAAAAAGAAAAAAGAAGGAAAGACGCACAGCCCTGACAATTGAGGTATTTTTCTGTTCTGACTACAATCAGGCTTGCATTCAACTTAGCTAGTTAACATCTGCCAGAATTAGCTGCTTTTGTAACATGGGAGTTTTGTCCCTCACTTCAGGCCAAGCATGTTTTCTTCCACAGTTGATTAGTGTGTTTGAATCATCCACGGCAGAAATTATTCCAAGTTCTAAAATGCTCTTTTCCCTCCCGTTTCTGGCAGTCTGCTTTCTTTCATTCCTTTCAAACTCCTCCGGTTTAGCGAAAGGTGGCTAGGAAGGTGGCAGAAACTGGGTATGTCTAGTCTAGTGAAAAGAAGGACCAAGGGCGACAGGATAGCAGGCTTCCAATCTCTCAGGGGCTGCCCCAAAGAAGAGGGAGTCAAGCTCTTCTCCAAAGCCCCTGGAGGCAGGACAAGAAGCAACGGATGGAAACTCATCAAGGAGAGAAGCAACCTGGAATTATGGATAAATTTCCTATCCGTGAGAACGATCAGCAGAACGGCTTGCCACCAGAAGTTGTGGGTGCCTCAATACTGGAGCTTTTTAAGAGGGGATTGGACAGCCATTTGTCTGAAATGGCATAGGGTCTCCTGCTGGAACAGGGGGTTGGACTAGATGACCTCCAAGGTCCCTTCCAACTCTTCTTTTGTTAAATCCTCAAGTTCCTGGAATTGGGATTGTCCAGTTTAATGAAAAGAAGGACTAAGGGTGACATGATAGCAATAGTCCAGTATTTGAGGGGCTGCCCCAAAGAAGAGGGGGGTCAACTTATTTTCCAAAGCCCCTGAAGGCAGGACAAGAAGCAACGGATGGAAACTCATCAAGGACAGAAGCAACCTGGGACTAAGGAGAAACTTCCTGACCGTGAGGACAATTAACCAGGGGAACGACCCGCCTCCGGAAGTTGTGGGTGCTCCATCAATGGAGGTTTTTTAAAAAGAGACTGGACAGCCACTTGTCTGAAACGGTATAGGGTCTCCTGCTTGAGCAGGGGGTTGGACTAGAAGACCTCCAAAGTCCCTTCCAGCTCTATTCTGGTTGAGTCCTATCCCTGGTTCAGCCATCTATCATGCATACATGATAGCAGTATTGCAATATTTGAGGGGCTGCCACAAAGAGGAGGGGGTCTATCATCTATCTATCTATCTATCTATCTATCTATCTATCTATCTATCTATCTATCTATCTATCTATCTATCTATCTATCTATCTATCTATCTGTCTGTCATCACCTATTATATATGGTCGCGCAGGGGTTAAAATGCAGGATTGCAGGCTAATTCTGCCCACAGCCGGGAGTTCGATCCTGACCAGCTCAAGGCTGATTCAGCTTTCCACCCTTCTGAGGTCGGTAATATGAAGACCCAGATTGTTGGGGACAATATTCTGACTCTGTAAACCATCAGTGTTTCTCAACCTTGCCAATTTTAAGGCATGTGGACTTCAACTCCCAGAATTCCACAGCCAGCATTGCTGGCTGTGGAATTCTGGGAGTTGAAGTCCACATGCCTTAAAATTGGCAAGGTTGAGAAACACTGACTTAGAGGATGTGGTATATAGTCTAAGTGCTAATGCTATTTGACCGGCCAAACCAGCATTGCTCAACCTCGACGACTTTAAGATGCTTGGCTGACTGGGGAATTCTGGGAGTTGAAGTCCACCCATCTTAAACGTCATCACGTATGAAAAACCCTGGGCTAAAACCCTGAGCTAAGCCATTACAACATCAGAAGGACTTTTTCCACACAATTCCAGAAAGAAAAAAAACCTCACCAGCAGAATCCATGTCCTTACTCAGGGCTCTTAAGGCTTCCCGGTTCTGGTTCCGTTTCTGATTCAGATCGAAAATCTACAAGAGAAATGGATAAAACTTTAAGCTTGACTAAAAAGCTCATTCATCCAGCATCTCCCGGTCTCGCTTCTTCCCCTCTGCAGACTGGACAAGCCATCTTGTATTATATTTTTCTACTGCACCTGAGGGCAGGGCAAGAAGCAACAGATGGAGACTAACCAAGGAGAGAAGCAACCTGGAACTGAGGAGAAATTTCCTGACAGTGAGAACAATTAACCAGTGGAACTGCCTGCCTCCAGAAGTTGCAGGTGTTCCATCACTGGAGGTTTTTAAGAAGAGACTGGATATCTATTTGAAATGGTATATAGGGGGTTGAACAACAGACCTCGATGGNAGAATAAATATTAACACTATTGGGAGAGTCCGTCTCCATCTGCAGAAATTTTAAAACAGAGCCTTTACAAGCATTTTCCCTGGATAGCCCGCGTGGGCCTGGCTGCCCCTTGCTTAGGGCTGGACCAGACGACCTTGGGGTACCCCTTCCAACAAGACAATCCTAGGACCCTCTGGAGCGTGGTCTGAGCGGGGAAGGGGGGTGGTGGTTGGACTAGCGGATCTCTAGGGTTCCCTTCCAAGTGGGCAGTTCTACACAAGAGTCTTTGCGATATTTATTCTTGTTGTATCTATTTTATATTCTATGTTTCTCGGGGGGCGGGGGGGGCGAGACGGAAATCCCTAGGCCTGCCTTGTTCTAGGCGCGGGGACTACAACTCCCGTCATGCCTCGCGGCGCCAATTCGCTTCGCCCCCCCCCCCCCAACGGCGCTCCCCGGCCTACCTGCTGCCTGGTGGCCATCACCTCCTCGGCCAGCGCCTCCACCTCGGCCAAATAGCGGAGCACGAAGTCCGGATCGCTATCGGCCATCGCGCCGGGTCTCGAAGGAAAAGCGACGCCGCGAAAATGCGCGACTTGACGTGGCGCGGCCTAGTCGGCGCAGGCGCCTGAGCCGGGCGGTTGCCATGGCGACCGCCAGGCCTTGAGGCCTACTCCTGGCCTTCGCCGGCCTATCTCACCAAGCTGGGAAAGGAGGCGGGCGACTAACCCGCTTCTTCTCCTCGGGCGGCAGCCGGGAAGGGCAGGCAGGCCTTCCCCGGAGGCCCTTCGAGGCCTTGGACTCCGTTTCCCCTCCTCCTCGGCCGTCCAGGATCATGATGGGCTCGGATTGGCTCTGGCCTCCTTCCTGACATGGAGCGGCTCTTACCTGGCCGTTCTATGGGGATGGATTACAAATCCCATCATCCGCCCTCTTGCGGGATCGCGGGGCTGGGCGTGATGGAGAACACAGAGTGATGCATTGAAAACCGCCAGGGAGAGCGGCAAGGAAGACCATTGCCTGACTTTCCAGTGGGAAACGCCTTGCTGGGTGGATGTGTTGTCTGAACCCAGTCACGTGGGTCAGCTTGACCTGCTTTGGGAAGGAAAGACCTGCAGGTGGCATTCACATGACACCCAAAGCTTCCTTTGACATGTGGGGGCCAACTCAGCCAGTTGTGCCAGCATTGTGTGAACACCAAAATGGGTTAATTCACCAACCCTGGTTTGGGCCAAGGGATGAAATGCACCCTTTCTTTCTTTCTTTCTTTCTTTCTTTCTTTCTTTCTTTCTTTCTTTCTTTCTTTCTTTCTTTCTTTCTTTCTTTCTTTCTTTCTTTCTTTCTTCCTTCCTTCCTTCCTTCCTTCCTTCCTTCCTTCCTTCCTTCCTTTTTATAAATAAGTAAATAATTCAAAGTGAACATACATAATACTCCTGTTTTCCACAACAACCCTGCAAGGTGGGTTCGGCTGAGAACATCACCCAGCTGTGGCTTTCATGGTTAAGCGGGACTAGAACTCACTGTCTCCTAATGATCGGCCCAAAGTCACCCAGCCAGCTTTCGTCCCTAAGGCAGGACTAGAACTCACCGTCTCCTGGTGATTGGCCCAAAGTCTTCCAGCCAGCTTTTGTCCCTAAGGCAGGACTAGAACTCACCGTCGCCTGGTGATTGGCCCAAAGTCTTCCAGCCAGCTTTCGTCCCTAAGGCAGGACTAGAACTCACCGTCGCCTGGAGATTGGCCCAAAGTCTTCCAGCCAGCTTTCGTCCCTAAGGCAGGACTAGAACTCACCGTCGCCTGGAGATTGGCCCAAAGTCTTCCAGCCAGCTTTCGTCCCTAAGGCAGGACTAGAACTCACCGT